ACGAGATCTGGACGAGATCTGGCCGAGATCTGGCCGAGATCTGGACGAGATCTGGCCGAGATCTGGACGAGATCTGGCCGAGATCTGGCCGGGATCTCGCCGGGATCTCGCCGAGAGACTCGCGGACGGCCATTTCTTCAACGGACGGAGTGGGGGAAGCGCGCTGCGCACTCTTCAGTACTCACTGTTGGCAACGGATGGGCCAGGAGAAGCGCGCGGTGCACCGCGACCTCAAGCCGGCCAACGTGCTGCTGACCTCGTCCGGGTGACACTTCCTAGACACTTCCTAGACACTTCCCAGGCAGTTCCTAGACACTTCCTAGCCGGCCAACGTGCTGCTGACCTCGTCCGGGTGACACTTCCTAGACACTTCCTAGACACTTCCCAGGCAGTTCCTAGACACTTCCCAGCCGGCCAACGTGCTGCTGACCTCGTCCGGGTGACACTTCCTAGACACTTCCCAGGCAGTTCCTAGACACTTCCTAGCCGGCCAACGTGCTGCTGACCTCGTCCGGGTGACACTTCCTAGACACTTCCTAGACACTTCCCAGGCACTTCCTAGACACTTCCTAGCCGGCCAACGTGCTGCTGACCTCGTCCGGGTGACACCTCCTAGACACTTCCTAGACACTTCCCAGGCAGTTCCTAGACACTTCCTAGCCGGCCAACGTGCTGCTGACCTCGTCCGGGTGACACTTCCTAGACACTTCCTAGACACTTCCTAGACACTTCCCAGACACTTCCTAGCCGGCCAACGTGCTGCTGACCTCGTCCGGGTGACACCTCCGAGACACTTCCTAGACACTTCCCAGACACTTCCCAGACACTTCCTAGACACTTCTTAGACACTTCTTAGACACTTCCTAGACACCTCCTAGACACTTCCCAGGCAGTTCCTAGACACTTCCTAGCCGGCCAACGTGCTGCTGACCTCGTCCGGGTTCGTCAAAGCTAGACGCCACCCCCCCTCCGGAGATCTAGGGAGATCGCACCGGACGGCGTACGACATGCGCGGGAGATATAGGGGAGATATAGGGGAGATATAGGGGAGATATAGGGAGATCGCACCAGATATAGACGGGTAGAAGAGACGGCGAACGACCTACTAACGACTCGTCTTTGGATGCGTCGATTTCTTTTTTCCCGTCCAGGTTCGTCAAGCTCTCTCTGCATCTCCCTGTATCTCCCTATATCTCCCTAGATCTCCCCCATATCTCCCAGGTTCGTCAAGCTCTCCGACTTTGGCATCTCGCGCGAGCTCGACGCGACACACGCGATGGCGGCGACGTACTGCGGCGAGACCTAGCGACATCTAGCCGAGATCTAGCGAGATCTAGCCGAGATCTAGCCGAGATCTAGCCGAGATCGAGCCGAGACACAGCGAGAGACAGCCGACGCGACACACGCGATGGCGGCGACATACTGCGGCACCGCCGCCCACACGCCGCGGGGGGGTCTATGCACCCACACTGCAAGAAAGAAAGAAAACGGACAACCCCCTGCCACCGCGCCCCACACTTGTTTTTTTCTTTTTTCCAGGCACCGCCGCCTACATGTCTCCCGAGCGGTCTGCCACCGCACCAGCCACGGAGCCTGAGCCCACGCTGGGTTCGGCTACTCTGGAGGTATGGGACTAGGCTCGTCGACGGCGGCGTGTACGGTTTCCCTTCTGATGTTTGGTCGGTTGGGTTGATTGGCCTCGAGGGGGCGAGAGAGAGCCGAGAGAGAGCCGAGAGAGAGCCGAGAGAGAGAGAGAGAGAGACAGAGACAGAGACAGAGAGACAGAGAGACCCTGACCCTGACCCTGACCCTCACCCTCACCCTGACCCTCACCCTGACCCTCACCCTCACCCTCACCCTCACCCTCACCCTCACCCTCACCCTCACCCTCACCCTCACCCTCACCCTCACCCTCACCCTCACCCTCACCCTCACCCTCACCCTCACCCTCACCCTCACCCTCACCGTCACCCTCACCCTCACCCTCACCCTCACCCTCACCCTCACCGCAGGTCCTCGGCCGCTACCCGTACCCTCACTACGCGTCGCACTTTGACCTCGTCGACACGGTCGACCTTCCTAGACACTTCCCAGACACTTCCTAGCCACTTCCTAGACATTTTGACCTCGTCGACACGGTCGTCAGCGAGCTCCCGCCCCACGCCCTAATGAATCAACCACGCGCTCAATGACTCCGCTCGGACCTCATTCATGAACCGCTCGCTCAATCCATCAACCAGCTCGGCCCTCTTAGGGCGTCAACGGGCCTCCGCCCCCGGCGCGCCCAGAGCTGCTGCAGGACCCCCCCCCCCCCCCCGAGCTGGGACCTTGTGTAGATAAATCCTTGATTTAATTCTCCCACCGTTTGCGCGGGGTCCTCCCCCCCGCGGGTTTTTGCTCGAAAAATATTGGTGTTATCCTTGGATCACCTCCCGTAGGGCCTGTTGCCCCCGGGCTGTTTCCTGGTCCCCCCCCCCCCCC